CCTTGTTCTCTTTTTTTCTCTCTTACAGCTTTGTTTTATTCAATTAGTTGCTTTTACTGTGGTTTCAAGAAGTTTTCCCCCATTCGATACTTTTTGGTGGTAAATTTTGGACAGTCAGTGTAGTTTTTTGGTTTAATTGTTTATAAGAAGCTAGTAATTTTAATTTATTGGGCATACGAATAGTTTTATATTATAGTTTTCTTATTTTTACACCTCCATGTCTACATTTATCAGGTAAATTAGGCAGCTGTTAATTATTTGCTTACTCAGACTTTTTCCTCTTAATCCTTAAATCTCTTTATATTAAATTTTCTGATTATATTAAAAATGAAATTAATGAAATAAAAATCAATCAAAACAATGAATGTTTAATCTAAAACATTTTCATTGTCTTAGTCATTTCACCAAAAATCTCGCTCGACTCGTGCACCTCTAAAACCGGCCACGCCTAAAAGCAGACAGCGAAAACGTTGATGCAGAGAAGCAGAAAAAAAGAAGGAAACATGGAGAAAAAAAAAAGGAAGCAGCATCCCATTTATCCCAACGTGCTCATTTAAGTGGAATCACTTAATGGTTTTATACGCTTATCACTATCATCCCAGCAACAATTCCGCGTCGCGTTCTACGGCTCATCCTCTATTCCCAGTGCCATTTCGGGCAGCCTTCCGTGTCCAGAGAGCGAGAGCCAGGCACAGTGACAAAGCGTATAGCCGTGGATAGCACCACCCACAGCCGGCCGCACCACTCGCTGTCATTGTATCCGCGAATCCACGGATCCTTGTGCCGTTGATTCAATCAAATTTCGAAGTGTGGAGCATTTTTATCTGGCGGATGTTTGGCTCGCTGTCAACACAAAATGTTGGCGTCCAGTCATTGTTTTAACGCGCATGTTTGCCAGGCACACACACACCAACAACAACAACACACATACACACACACACATGCATATACATATACACATATACATATATCTTCGTTGTTAAATGCATAATTTTTAGTGGAAATTGCGGCACGAAATGTTTCACTTTTTGACTGCGTGACGCTTGTTTGAGGTGTGTATGTGTGTGTGTGTGTGTGTGTGTGTGGGTGTATATTCGGTGTGTTGTGTGCGCTTAGGGGGTTGCTGAGGGTGTGCCGCCGCTGCCAGCCAAAGGTCGTTTGTACGGCCCACAAATAAGGAAGTAATATGTCGCCACTGCATGGCCATCAAAGCCAGACGCGTTGAATACTTCACGGGGCTTGTAAAATTGTGACAAAAGCTGCTCCCGCTGCAAGCACCCCCATAGAGTGGCCGACCTTCTTCTACCATCTGCCCCGGCCCCTTATCATCTCGCGCTGTGTGGGAACTGAATGCTCTTTTTTCTGTCACATGAAGCGTTCCATTCCATTGTCAACGATTTGATTACAGGGTATAAATATATACATATATGAGAAGGATAATTTGAAAATACAAAAAAAAAAAACTGAAACTGAAAAATACATTTAAATTGTAATATATTTTAGCAAAAATATTTATTATATTATATTCATAAAAATTTATTTCTTTCATACATTTGTTCAATATAAAATATTAAAATAAATATGCAAATTTTAAATATTAAATAATTGATGGACAATCATTTAAAATAGAAATCAAAAAGCGAGGTCTAATGATATGAATAAATATATATTCCTATTTCATAACTTAGTAACTATTTCAAATTAAGTTTATCAGCTCAAGATTAAATTTATTGATTCTTGAAAAGTTTTATTTATACTATTTCAACAAAGGCTTATAATAATATTGATTTAAGTGAAATCCCTTCTAATAATCACGAGGCTTATGCTAATACGTTGAGTTGCTCGAGAAATAGTTTGATATACTGAGAATATAAGATACGTATATATCGTCAGTGTGCAGGGTATTTGATTGCTTAATACTGCCACACATTCACCGTCTCTCTTCCCAGGTTGCGTGCCAGCTCTTTTTTTTTGTGGCGTTCCTTCTACCCCGCTGTCAGAAACATTGAACCGCATTTGTATTGAAAGATTAATGATGCACAATTGGTCGCATCATCCTGATGTCTGTGGCTATTGTTATGCGAATTGCTGTAGTAGTTGTTGTTGTTGTTGTTTGATGATTTGCTTAAATTTATGATCCTAAAGAGATTGTCACATTTGAAATTGCATAGAAGATCTCTGAAGTTTGGGTCGCCGGCAAATCATTTCATTAACTTAATGTACCAGAATGTGACTTGTCGGTTGTCAACTTTGTGTCGCTCGCTTGAAGGATGTGAGCGTGTGTGGTCCTGGCAGGATGCTGTTCACTTTAGTTTAATACCAAGTGCCGACCGACTGCTGACGTCGACAAGTCAGTTAGTGCAGCTAAACTTGGCTAACTTTGGCTCTGGCTACAAGGCACTGATTTTATTTACAGGCTAACAACAAGGATACTTGTGTCGACAGGGCAAGTCGAGTCGAGTCGAGTCGAGTCGGGTGTAAAGCAGAATGCCACCCCCCGGGGCAGCTGTTTCTAGATGCAACGTAGCTGTCAGTAACACTCACTTGACATTTAACTTGTGTCATTTCCACTATACAGGCCAGGCGCAACTCCAGGCGACAGTAAGCTGCGAGCATAATGACAATGCATGCGCATATGCTGGCATTTGCCAGATCACAGTGGTTGAGGTGGTGCCACTAATGCGTGCAATAGAACACAGTAGAATATTAAACGCAATGCGTGAAAATTATATTTAAAATATTTGTATTATTATTTTGGAAAGTAACCTGCATATGTCTTTACATATATATTTATATAGCAGAGCGTTTCAACAGTTGCATTTCCGATTCAGCTCAGTTCAGATAAAGCTCAAATATTCATTTGCTTGAGTAAAAAATCGACAGGATCTCTTTGCCTACGCTTCAATAAACGATATCAAGTGGCAAAGCAGCAAGGAAACAGAAGCAAACAATTAAACATCTACACTCAGCATGGCGCTTGCCAAACAACAAACTACACACACTCACTCACACACACATGTACACACAGATAAACACATTCCCAGCCATACACAAACCAACCCATCAAATGGACGCAAGGCCTTCCTTCCGCCTGCTGCCTCCTTCCAACGTTCGAGTGTGCTGGCCACTTCATCATGGCCAGCGACTGCATTAGAGATTCATCCATTTATTCACACCACAAGTCAGAGTGGGAGCAGAAAAAGTAGTAGAGCTTGGCGAGGAAGAAGGCGAAACAGGACATTTCGCAAAGAGGACAATTTGGGCCCGAGGCGTAAACTTATTCCGAACAGACATTCATTCTTGTTTTTTTTTTTTTTTTGCCATACACAATAAGCCGCGGCACTTTTCATTAGCAGCCACACTTCGGCGACAGCTGCGGGACAGGGTCAGCAAGTGCACTGAGAGAAAAAGTGTGCTGAACAAATTTTGTCAATAATCATTGATTGTATATCAGAAATAATACTAAAAATTGCTAGCAAAAGCAAAACAAAGTTTTCTTTAAGCTTCATTTGTGTAAAAGCTTTTTTAAGTTTAGGTAGATTTAGTAAAAATATTGATACTATCAAAATTTAACTTAAATTAGTTTTAAAACATTTTTTTTTTCAAAAGAAAGTCATTATTTGTTCTCAGTGTAAAATACTTATATATTTCTCTCAGTGCATGTATTGTAGTCTATCTATAAACTGTCTTGGCCTTGCTGGGCTTTACTTCTTACTTTTTGTGGCGCCTTTGTTGCAGTTATTAACCCTTAACCGCACATAACATTTATTACCCACATTGTTCCTCACTCACACTAATGCACACGCACACACATATACATATACATGTATATATATCTTATATTTATATATATGTATGTGTACACACGCAGACAGAGAAACACAGGGGCCAAACAAGTCGCCTGCGTTAAGCTGACAATGACATTTGGTCTCTCCCTTCCCCTCACCCTCTCTCCCTCGCTCCCTACCTCTCTCTCCCTCTCTCTTTCCAGTTGATTGTACGCTGTGCGGACGACTTTTGTCTGTGGTTTATCGCTTTTAATTTGTCGCCGCGTCTTTGGGGCTCGTTAAGTCGCCCTTTTTCCACTTTTTCCAATGCGCCGTTTCCATTGCTTCTTTCTCTGCTTCTCGCTGAGTGAATTTCCGTGGCGATAATTGGCTCTGTGCACAAGGCCAAGAAAATTAGAGATTTGTTGCTTGGTAATTCGTTACAACATGTTGAATGCCGAGAGCTTTGCTCTGCGTCCTCTTTTCCTTCTTTACAGGCGTTCCCGAACTAATGCGAGTTTATTGGTTTTGAAATGAAATGAAATTCGTCAACTTGACTAGTAAAATGTTACAATTTTATGAATACACCGAATCGAGATACTATATTTATATATATGTAGTTGAATAACATAATAATTTCGCCTTAAATCGAATCATATATTACATTAAAAATCAGCTGAATAACTGATTAAATTTCAATATACAAAATTTAATTGCGTTCAATTCGAAGTAATTTTAGAGGACATACATGTATGTACATAACTCTTTAAACTTTTGGGAATGCCTCATTGAGCAAATTTTGCATGCATTTTTTAGATGAAATTGATAAATTTAGATGACATATGTACATATATAAATTTCATATTTAACGTTATTGTAAATCCATTTTCGTTTCATCCATTGATGATATAATGTTATAGCTTATCTCTTATATCTTGTATTGTATGCTTAGTAATATTAACAATATCTCGGGAATTGGTAAACATGAAAGTTCCATTAGAAATGCCTTTGCGGAGCGAATTCCAACCAAAAATAGATTCTGAACTCAAAGTTAAAAAATAAATTTAATAAATTTGCTTGGTTAAATTGTTAATAATTTTAGAGTCAAAATTATTTTTGTGGAATCTAAAAACGTTTAAATGAAATGTGACAAGAAAATTGTATCTTTTGAGCAATACGTCAGTTCAGCAATACAGCTCGTGTACTAAACTCGCCTCGTTTTCATCAGAAAGTGAAGAATTGCTTGTAGAAATGTCCGATTCGGAGAATAATCTAGTGCGACTGCGCGCACGTTTGCAGGAGCGGGGCGTGAAGCTGTGGGAGTCGCCGTACTATGTGGAAAATGTGGGCAGCAGTGATGCGGCCGTGGAGGGTCTCGCCCAGGAGCTGAGCCGTGAGATGCACATAAGCGCAGCAAGCTGCAAGAACTCGCTGCTGCAGCTGCAGCAGAACGCGCTGCGCAAATTGAGCGCACGCCGCGAGTTCAATGAGACGGGGCTGGCCACCTTCCACGTGCGGTGCGTGGACAGCCACGGGGGCACCGTTCGCTTGCTGCAGGTGAAGTGCAAGCTGGCCGAGCCGGGCGCCATGCTGCAGGCTAAAGTTGCGCACGAGCTGCAGCTGAGCGAGGCGGATCATGTGAAGTGCATATCGGCGGGCCGGATGGTGGCGCCACAGGCGACGCTGCAGGACCAGGGCTTGAAGAACAATCAGCAGCTGCTCGTGATTGTGGGCCAGCCGGATGCCCAGGGCGAGGCGCTGTATGAGCGCATAAGGCAGATAAAGCGAGATGTCGAACTGGTCATCGATTCGGATCATCATTTTGTCGACCTGGAGGATCAGGATGGCAACGCCATGTTTCTGCCACCGCAAGAGAATCGTGCCCTACTCCTGGGCATGGCGCTGTGCGAAAAGGCGCGTTCAGCCATGCGCCGGGAGCACTACGATGAGGCCCTGCTGCTCTTCCTCGAAGCGGACGAGAAGTTCAACAATTGTGACTCCAAGTTTCTGGAGTGCGTGGACAACTATGCGCTGCTCAACTTGGACATTGTGTGGTGCTATTTGTGCCTGAAGAACATAACCCAGCTGCCGGATGCACAGCGTCGGCTCGATGTCTGCGAGCGCATCCTGCAGCGCAGCTATGGTCCGAACTTTAGTCGTTTGTATGCCCTGAAGGGCTCCAGTTGTCCGGAGCGTGCGATTATTGTGCGGCTGCAGCTGCTCCAGGGCGTCATCCTTTTCCACTCGAATCGTCACGATGAGGCGCGATCGCGCCTCGAAACTGTCGCCACAGCTCTGAGCGAACTGAAGGTGAGTACCGAGCAGTTAGCGCTGCTGGTGGAAATGGGCTTCGATGCCTCGGCAGCGCGTTTGGCTCTACGCTCCAGCAATGGCAATGTGGAGCGGGCGGTGCAGTTTATCCAACAGCGCAGGCTCAGCGTGCAACAGGCTCGTCTCAACTCCGACTCGGAGCGGGAGCTGAACCGTCGCCTGGCCCAGATGCAGGTGGGCAACGATGATCGCGATTGGGTGCATCCGCGCAGCGTCTGTCGGCTCATGGAGCTGGGCTACGAGCGCTCGCTCGTCGTGGAGGCACTGCGTCGCAGTGGCAACGATATAAACAAGAGCCTGGAGCTGCTTCAATCTCACTCGGACGAGCTGCGTCGCAATCTGCCCGCCACCCAGACGGCCGACGAGCAAATGCTCTTCACTCTACGCGAGCTCGGCTTCAAGCTGACCGCTGCTCGTGCCGCTCTAGAAACCACTCGCAACAATCTAGACAAGGCCATTGACTTTCTGCTCAAGAGCTTTGCCACCGAGCAGGAGCTGAACAGTGTCATCGAGCACATGACCACCCTGACCGCACAGGGCGCTGCCACTGATGAGTCCGCTTCTGCCTCCCCCTCCACATCCACCTCAGCCGCTCGATTGACTGCGCTCACGCCCAGCAAGTTGGCTCTGGTTAAGTCGGTGCTGAGCAAGGCTCAAACCGAAATCGAGTCGTACAGCGCCTACAAGCGCTTCAATGAGGATATTCCCGATGTCGATCAGGACTATTTGGACTTACCCTTGGAGCAGGAGGAGCAAATACTTAACGAGTACAGACTGCTATTGGAACATTAAAGTTTGCTTACGCAGTATTTATTTATTTATTTATTTATTAGTAAAAATATGTCGATATACATATGCACATATTTATATCAATTCAATTTCTTTTTAGAAAGAGATTAAAATCTTGGATTAATTAATTATTTACATATTTCCTTGTTAGCTTACAAATGACAGTTGTTCGTTTGATTATTCACGCTCTGTTCGCCACATCAACAGGAAGAAATCGTGCTCTCTCGCTCTTGATCAGAGCCATAGGCTTCGGTTCTTTTCGTTTTGTTTTCTGTTGAGCGCTTTCGTTCGAGTGGCGCTCACTTAACAAACATCGTTTCGTGAGAGATACGATTGATGTTCGCGCAATGAACACATATACATGCACTTTCTCTTCACGTGCGCTGTCGATGTGTTTAGCGAACTCGCATACATATATACATACATACAAACTCGCAGACAACACACAAAAGGCCTTTTGCTTTTCGATTGCATTCGAGCCGAACAGCAAGAGCGAAAGAAAATAACAAAAGCAACGGATCGCAAACGAACTCGTTGAAGAGTCAATGCAATCGGTCGCTCTCTTAGTTTATTTTCAAAGTATGAGTAGAAAGCACTTAAATATTTGCAGACATCGTTTAACAGTTTTATGTTAAAGTAATGAATTAACAGGAAGCCAGCTTTCGGCTTGGGACTGACTGCTTCATTAACTGCTAGTGCTCAACTATAACTGCGACTCAACTCAGCAACTGCCTAAAACGTACTATGATAACTTAGGGGTCTGCCACGCCTACTTCTGCGTGTTATATACATTTAACAAATTATACCCTGAGTTATATTGTATTTGCATTTTTTCAAAGTTTTTTCTCCTATAAATCTTTAGCATCAGTATTTAGCTTGACTAACTTATTTTATATATTCGCTATTACAAAATATTTAAATATAATACAGATTTCTAGCTGATTTATGTGTTACCATTATCCCTTTTCAATGGGTTCAAGGTAGTATAAATATAAACATTGTTGTTGCTTTTTGTTGCTCTGGAGCTCATCTGTCAGTATTAGCTTTTTAATTCCACACACGAAAGGGTGTCTATATTTCACTGTTTTTTTAGTTTTCACCGACAATTACTCATAAATTTGCTATAGTTTGGCTTTTAGCTTCGCACACACTCACTCAGACTATTTACCCGCTTGCGCTGCAAAGTATGCTATGCTATTTTTTGTTAGCTGTTTACTCGTGTGCATAAACATGTCAGATTTGACTGTGTGTGTGTGTGTCTGTGTTTTGCGTGCTGTTGACTTTTGTGAAAATTAATAATTTTTCAACAAACTACAACTCGAAAACGAACTCCACACCCGTCCCCCTCCCCGCTGCCAGCGCCCCTAGTGCTCCCACTCGCCATGCAACTTCTGCGCTTGATGGCCAAATAATTTGTCGTCTGTGTGTTTGTTTCCGAATCGTTAAGTCCCAAATAAACTTAGTTGGCATTGTTGTTTGCTGTTTGCCGCTTGCTGTATTGTTGCTTGTTGTTGTTAGGTAGATTTGTCATGCCATGCCGCACATTTTTTTGAGTGGCTGACATTTCACTTGACTGAGCCACGAATCCGTCCCCAAAAAAACGAATTTGCGCACATTTCTCTCGAATTGGGATTAAATCGTGCGTGTGGCTAGGCAGAAAAAAAAACAATTTTCTTGAGTGTTCATTTCCATGCAGCTCGCCTTAAACACTTTAAATTGGACATTTATAATGGATATATAGTAGGTATATTTTTTCCCTATATATAATAGGCAACTGCACGAGTGCCTGTCCAAATGCCGGCCGCATATTTTCTCTGCTGCTGCTGCTGCTGCTGCTGCCGCCTTTTGAGCCAACAAATTATGCAGCTACAAATAGAAAGAAAAAGTACCACAAAAAAAATGTCAAAATGTTGGCAACGCGCTGCAGTTGAAGTAGATGTCGGGCGGTGGGGGGCGGGGGCGTGCCTGTCTTATTTAGTAGCGAAAATGAGCAGCGGCAGCGCTTAGAGTCCTGTAACCAAGGACTTGCCGCGAAAAAAAAGGGTTGCTTGAGTGAGCTGCCGCAGAGGGTGCCGTGGAGCAGGCGGGGCGTGGGCGTTAGGCTTGGGCTGCATTCACTGGCTGATTTCCGTCATTTGTTGCTGCTGCTGCTGCTGCTGCTGTTTGCTGCTGCAACTGCCACAGCGAGAGGCACAGTCAGAGTTACTGCCACTGCAGCTGCAGCTGCTGTTGTCATCAACAGTGAGCAACATTATCATTGTAGTTGCAAGTGCCGCAATGCCCTGTACAAATTGACAATTGCTTGCAATTGGGTGATATAGGCGAAAACAACAGAATGTTGCGATAGGCATGCATCTGTAAAATACGATATATTATTTTATGAATTATCTTATAAATAATAATAAATGAATAAAACTTAAAAATAATTAAATTGATTTTTTTCCTTAAATAAAAAGTTAGTTTAGATTAGATATGAGCACTAAAAGAAAACTTGTATAATAAAAAATTCAATAATTAATTAAAAAATAATTAATAAATAAATAATTCCTGTTTCTTTGGAATCTGTATATAGTATAGAAATCGATATGCAAGATGAAAATAAATCAGCTAACTAAAATATCTAAAATTTCTTCTCGATTCTATCGAAGATACAGAAAAGAAGACAAAAAATATGAAGAAAATCACTGGGTAACTCCTAGTTGGGCATGCCTCATCTAAGCACATTCGCTTGTGTTACTGTTGTTGTTGTGTGTCCTCATTATCGTTTGCTGCCTGCCATGCTCTTCTCATGTCTTTTGGCATTTACATTCCATTTTAATATATATTTTTTCTTTTTTTTTTTTTGTGTTACTTCTTTTTTTTATCAAGTGGCAGGCTGAAGATCTTTAATGGCTTTGAAATGCACTTGGAAGTGAGCAGGAAAAAGATTTTTTCACTTCTTAATTTATTACACAAAGTGTACAAACAAAAAATCGCCTACAAAAATCACAAATGAGTATGTCTAAATTAATGGGTAAAAATATTGTACTTACGACCAAAGACGCGATTATAAATCTTAAATATCGGACATTTAAAGATGAATTTCCAAATTTAAAATGTTTGCTTTTCTCTATCATATTCAAATTTTCATCTTCCCAATTTTATTCCTTTGTCTTGTGTTTACTTAAAAATTTATTTAAATTTCTTGAAGTAGAGCTTCTTTTAGTTGAATCTTCTTTTTTCTTCTTTTTATTATGATTTGGTATTAAAGTTAAGCTGAGAAAACTTTGCTTGGGTCAACTTTTTTTTTTCCTTTTCCGAAAGTTTTCTGCAGTTAATTAAAAAAAGACGATCCTTCATAAATTTTTTTTTGTTTTTTTTTTTTTTTGGCTGCATAAATTACAAATTAGCCGAGTCAAAATCAGCTTTCACACAGCAGCCAGCCACAACTTAACCCCCATATCATTTCCATTCCCATTCTATTCGGTCAGCGCTTTGTGCTTAGAAAGTGAAAATAATGTAAATGATAAAATTATTTAATGATGCGGAAGTGCGTTGATAAGCGAACGACAAATAATACCAACAAATGATGCTGCCGATGCGGCTCCTGCTGCTCCTGCTGTTGCTTGTGTGGTTGCTGCTGCTAAGCTTGGCATTTGTTTACCCTAACTGTGGGATATTTTGGTTTTCATTGCGGACTGTGGGAAATGCATATCGATAGCATAGTCATCGATAAACTTAATATATCTTATTTGTGATATTTGTGAATTTATTTTTTTTTATTGTCGTATCCCTATTTAGTAGTTGTTTATTAATTTAGAAAATATTTCAAAAGCTATATCACTTATATGATTTCTATGTAGAATGTCTCTACTTCGTTAATACAATCGATATTTACCAGAAGATACAAAACAAAACACCAATATTTTTATATGTAAATTAAGCTCAAATGCTTTAAACAATTTTTGTATTAATCTAAAAAATAAAAAAAATATATTTTTTTTTTAACTAAGACATTTTTTATAATCGTTTATAAGCCTTTCTTTTCTAAAACCGAATCCCAAGTTATGACAGAGTTCTTGTCTACATTGATAGACAATTTGTTAGTGTATTTCATGCCTCATCATCCGCTGCTGCAAAACAAATATAAACCAATCCAACTTTGTGATAATTTCAAGCTGATTATTTGGATAAGAAAAACAAGAAAAATGTAGGAAAATTCATATTTAAACTTTTATTTGTTTTTCGGCTAAATAGTTTGAAAAACAAAACCGGGAGAATAAATACCAAACAGCTGCGCCTACGGCAGCGGGTATGCAATACATTTGGCTTTCCACTTATTTAGGTAAATCTATGAGGGCATATCCAAAGTTGTGCGCCGTTTTCTAATGAGCGAGACTCATGTGGCTGGGAACTTTATGCGCTCGTAAAACAGTTGCCAAAGAGCCGAGTGCTCCGTTCGAAATTGAGGACATAACTTTGCAGCAATTTACATACTCATTATGGCACTCGCTCAGCGGCTGAGCGACGGAAAAAAAATGTCAAATTAAAATTGCAGCAGCAAAAAATAAATACAGTTTAATTAAAAGAACACAAATTTCTCGACTGTACATTTCACTAAATATATCTACCTTATACACATATGTATATACATACATATGGCAATCAACAATTTGTCACATTAAATACTCTTCCCCACTTGGCTTACTCGTAATTTTATTTGTTCGCCAAAAGAGTTGTTGAAATGTTCAATTACACAATAAAAAGAAAAAAAGTTGCATATGTCAATTGCTCTGTGTGCGTGTGTGTGTGCTTGTGTGTGTTGGTGAGGGTGACTTTATTGATGTGTCAAGAGCGTGAGGGGTTGCGCTTTTGTGTGTCAACTACAGCAGGACTTCATTTCATGTCCATGCGTGGCTCTTTTCTCACTGATCTCATTTTAATTACGTTTTAATTAAACTTTAGCTTTTATATTATATTTAAAACAATCTGACAACGTTGGGCCAATTCACTGCAACTTTAAGTTGGC